AGAGACATCTAAAATTTTCAGCAGTTTTTGGTACATATCATCGAAAAGTTCCATAACAATACGTCCGGCATCCTTTCCTGCGATAGTAACATCAAAGAAAACTTTGGTTCTCTTTGTTGGTGCTTGGGTGTTGATGAGTTTAGAATTGTTGAGTGAGGAGAGCGATTTGCGTGATGACATTTTTTTTGAACAAGACAAAAATATTTTAATAATTTTGTGCAACTGAAAAAAGGCGGGAAATCATATTGATAATATGAGTTTAACATGAAAAAGTTGCTTTTCGTTTCATAACTTGATACTTCCTTAATGTTTGGTGTTAAAAAAGATTAAAATGTGATGTCTGGCAGCCAAGTCACTAATAATTCCGAGCCAATGGGAAAGATAAGTGTGTATAGCTAGCACATTTGTTTCATCACGGTAGATAACCCTGCCTATACTATTGAGACCTAGTAATCGCATGAGTAGCAGTGATTTTTTTTGGAGTGCTCATCAATGAACACATCCTCTCTTCCGAACACCTTAACGCTCATCCAACATTGTGGATGTGGTTTTGAATATTTTTTATTATTTTTTTCACAAGCAAAAAACTGGATTATTGCCTAAATATAAATGTGTACATATTGTCCTTAATGATTCTTGATATCAAACGGTTAGTAGGAAGCAAAAACAAGGACTAAATTCTAACATCAACACCTCCGAGAGATAATAAAGCAAAGCAGGATCTAGTGGTTCAAACAAGCAATATGAAACTATATCCGAGAGGAAGCAATTCAAATTTTGGCTGATGAATTTAAACAGCCAAAATAATGCAATATTTCCAATTTACTAAAGAACGGACAGTAAAGCAGTCCCTTCAGTGAAAATTTTTTCTTTAAGGTATTGAAAAGAAAGAACTGGCTGGAGAATAATAAGCACAGTTTCTAACATATCATTAAGCATCTTCAATCTACTTGATATTATTAGGTACTTGAGGCACGAGTTTATTTCAATCCTTATATTGTTGTTTCGTTTCTTTTAAAAACTAAGGAAAAAAATGAAGCGTGGTCATTATGACGTCGACACCGTTCTTCCCGAGATGGAACAAGATTATAAGAAACGTAAATGTATGTTAGATAGAACTTAACGAAAATTTATTAATTTATCTAATTAATTATTTAGTGACTATTCCAGTTAGTACCGTGCGCAAGATGAATAATACAGAGGTTGTTGAAATGATGAGAAATGTTGGTCTTGATGAGAATACTATTAAATGTTTGGACCAAACATTCACAGGTGCTCTAGTTTTTTTAACCGTATTATTCCTTAAAGATATCATGAAAAGAGAAGAAGAACATGGATGGTGGAAAGAAGCACTTGATGAAATTCTTCCTAGCTGTAACAATAATATGAAGGCTGCAGAGGAAATAATTTGTTTGTTAGTCAGACTATATGTGCCAAGAGAACAAGATTTGGGGTGGGTTGAAGCTAAACTCTCTAAGGTTGATAGGAATGGAACAAATTGGGTTAATGAATTGTACGATGAGGCATTCGAATATGTTAAATCATTTGATTCGCAAAGACCATTAGAACCAATAGAAGAATTCATTGAGAAGAACTTCAAATCTGATAATGTGAAATACTGCTCTCTCAATTTGGTTTCACATGAGACATTTGCCGGACCACTTCCAATCAAATTTGGAACTCTTGCAAAACATTATTTACCTTTTATTCCATCTCTTCAAATTGAATCCAACAATGATAAGATATTGGAACGAACAAGTTGTAAAACAGTAACAACCATTATTGCACCTTCTGGAACAGGGAAAACATCTTTAATGATTAGAAGACTTTGTAAAACAGCAGGGCTTCTATTGACAGGTACAGCTACATATGAACATGACAGCCACGAAACAACTGATTCAACAATAAGAACCTTGATTAGTTGTTTGAACTCAAGAGTTAATGCTTTCGGTTACATTCGACATGCTGTTCAAATATTATTGATTTCCAAGTTGACCTATCTTCTTCTATTGATTGAAAAAAGTCAAAAAGAGCCATCAATCTTGGATCCATTTGAGGGTTCTTTGCTTTCCTTCCTTGCATTCAACCAATTTAATGGATCAAATGATTATTCTTGTTCAATATTCGTCTACCTTTTCCCCCAGTACAAACATGAATTCTTCC